TCTGAGGTCACACACACGCCTATACATGTATACACACGTATAGACCCCTGTACACATGTACACATACACACAGGCACACGTACACATGCATACACACACCTGCACACACACACAAGCACATGTATACACGCACACACTCGCACTCTTCTAACTGGCCTGGTCCTGTTGCCCCCAGGCTTCGGCCTGGTCAGGAGGCGCTGTCTTGACGCTGACCCCTGGCAACAGCGTGGATGTGCCTACACCAAAACCCAGCATGGCTGCTTCACGGCAGCCCCCTCACATGGACACGTGCAGTGGTCATTACATGGCAGGAGCGTGATGGGGTGAACCCCAGTCTCAAAGGCACAGAGGCAGCACAGTCTCTTAGCTTAGTCCCGTGAACGTGTCCTTTGGGTGCATTGCCATTAGGTACGTTAGATCGGTAACACACTCACTGCTGGACAACATTGCCACGTGACAGAGACTTATCACAAAATGCCTCAGTACATTTAAAAAAAAAAAGTTTTTAATTTTTTCTTCCAGTTTTTTTTTAATCCATCAAAATGAGTCATTCTGATCTATTCCTAGTCAAATAAAAAATTTTTCCCCGTTTCCCCGCCTCTTTTCTCTCTCCTTAGCTTTCTTCTTTCCATTAGGAAAAAGAGAAATGGGAGGAAAAAATAGGATAATCAAAGAAACCAAAACAGGGTCTATTTAAAATGAAATAAAATTGATTTTTAATCAACTAAATCAATTAAAATTAATTTTTAATCAACACTACGTACATATTGTCTACAATTTTCATTTTGTTTCAATGATCTCTATAGCAGTGAGGCACATAGAAACTGCTTAGACACGTAGCATCTTTCAGCAGCATTTTACAATGCTCTCTGTTTCCCTACGTGATAACATTCAGCGCCAGATATGGTGACCGGGGAGCAACTGTCAAAGGGTTACTATCAGAAACCTTGAAATGATAGGAACTGGGCAGTTTCAGAGCTACTATTAGAAACCTTGCAAATGAGGGGAGATAGCAGCCCTGACACTGGCAAGCTCCAGTAATTTTTGACTGTCAGACACAAAACTGGCTATTAAAAGCCTTGAAAATGACAGGAGTGGTCACTTGCAGGACTGCTAGTACCTCAGCACTGACAGAAAAATAGGCTATTTTCTACTTAATGAGCCTGGTTACATTAAGTTTGGGTGAGTGCACAGTCTTTTTTCAGTCCCAAAGTAACACATGTAAATAGTGTGTACCATGAATGTAGGTTGTAGTCGTGTTGGTCTAAGGACATAGGTAGACAAGGTTGTTCAGATTCACCCAAAGAACCCTGTCTGTCTAGTGTGTACCATACAATTTATTGCATTGCCTATTTGTACAAACACAATTCTGAGCACTGAAAAGAAAGCTGAATTAAGGTCTTACTTAACATAGTACTCTGAAGCCTTTTAATCTAAAAATTTCAACATGCTTTTTAAAATGAACTGTTACAGCATCAGTCTCATTTTATAGGTAAGGAAACTCTAAAAGTGTAAATTTAAGAGATTTGGCCCAAGTCACACAATAAGGCAGGGTTACTAAGAACAGAATACAAAATCCCAGAAACCAAATCCCTTTTGCCAACCCATGGACTTTCATCTCTTGATCTTTATACTTCAGCAATAGAAGCCCATCATAGCCAAAATTAATTTCCAGACTCTTTAAAAGAATCTATGAAAAACTTTTACTGCATACTTAGATATCCTTGCCATGTGCTTGGATTGCCACTTAAAACCACCATGGAAATGCATGGCCTCATTTGTGTCAGCAACATTACACAATGGGCTCAGACAGAAAAGTGAAGCATACATTATCCAGCTGAAATTACTGTGGCCTGTTAGGTTATCTAGATTGTTACATGACCCAGTATACCTAGGTCAATAGGGCTTACACAAACCCTTCCAAATGGCATAAATGGACCTTTGGTTAGCAGAACTCATATCCAAAAGATACTTCCTATGGCCTTGATTTAATATTGACTTTGAGGAAAGTAAAGAGGTGCTCCGTGACCAACCCCATGGCCGACACATTACTACGGATTTGCTCATTCTGGACTCTGGACTCAATTAATGTTTAAAAGATAACTCAAATAGGAAGGGGACTGGTGAGTGTTATTAGTGAAGGGTTAGAAGTGGAAAATGCATCTTTCAGAAACTGTTTTAAGGCTTGCTGACATCTTAAGACCAAGTTTTCCTTAGCGATCTCCAGTCCAGGAATGGGTGTGACATAAGTGTGATTAGTAATGAGGTCACAGTCTAAAAGGGTGTGACTTCAGAGAAAACCTGCTAGTTATAACCATTCTCTTGTAGCTAACACTAGGTTTAGCTCCTTGCTGATAGGAAATGTGCAGTGTAATAAATGGCAAAACTATGCAGAACAGTTGAAGTCTGGCAGGGGAATGTTTGCTGGAGTAGTTGCAGGGTAGATGGTCAGAAGTTTCCTTTTCATTAAAGAACTAAAATGAGTTGAAAATTAATTGCTAGAAATTGGAGCATCACAGAAACATCAGCAAGAAAGAACTTCAAGAGATCAAGTTCATCTCTGTGGTGAGCAGAATCAAGTACAGTAAAACTAATCCTTTCAGATATTTGTATAACCAGTGGTTTCTCAACTTTTTTAGACTCAAGGCACAACCTCATTTGACTCAAGGCACCCTTCAGAAAATGCCGTCTCTTCATTTTCACTTTATTGGCTACAGAGAAATAATACAGCAATTCTTCTGTTGCAAGGAACTCAGAAAGATCACAAGTCAGAATGTTTTTCACACCCTGGATTCCTATCTGAAAATTCTGGGTTTATTTTGTGAATCATGTTTGCACACCTAGCAGTGATAACATGGTGTGGCACATCACAGAACCCTTAAAAAGATCTCAAGGCACCCCAAAGTGCTTCAACACCCTGGCTGAGAATCACTGGTCTAACCTGTTCTTGAAAACCTCCAAATCCCTGTTGTAAGAAAGCCAACTCCAGTGCTTCACTACTCATGCAGCTACATTTTCCTAGTCTCCAGCCTAAATCTTCCTTGCTGCAATCTCCTCCAGTTTTTTCAGTTGCTCATGTACTGGTATCTGTTAATCTCACAAAGAATAAAGTCCTACCCCCATGTCCCTAAAAAGTATTGTCCCAGGCCACCTATGTACTGTTCTCTATCAGAATCTCCTTCCAAATATTTTGCAGTACACCCCGTGTTCTTGGCTGGGCACCTGCTGCTATCTGCTTTCAGAAAATAATGATATTTATTTCCTTTAAAGAGAGGGAGTTGTGAGGCTTCATTTATTAATAATGCTCATAAAATGCTCAGAGACCTTTGGATGAAAGACTTAACTTTGGCACACAGACAACACAAGCTATTCTCTTCTATGGAGAGGAGTTATACAGATCCAGAGAGAAGGCCAGCTGGATGTAAGGGAAATGAACAGATGTTACAGTACGTATAATGGTAAAGAGGAAGGGAGGTGATTGAACACATGGAGAAAATTAAATATACAGACCTTACTTCCCTGATTGAGAATAGGAAGAAGGAAATTTCTCAAAGAAAACAATCCTTTATTAGCAAGTGGATTCTCACTCTAGTTTTAAATATTCAAGTTATAGATCACATAGTAGGGGGCAAAACACCTGTTCTGAGACCTTAGATTAACTTCAGGGTTATAGGAAAAGTTTCAAGCTGATGACAATCAGAGTGACTCAGACTCAGCATGCTTTGACAAGACTAACAGCCTTTTGTCCATCAACCTTGGCACCATGCTAGCATGCTATACTGCCAGGCGTCATATAATCATTTTTATAGGTTAAAGGTGGAAACAGGTATTAAAGGTAGAACAGGTATTAAAATCCTTTACTAATCAAGCTGTGCGAGGCGTTCATAAAAGAATAGACTGCAGAAAAGAAACACACGCAAATCATACCTAGCATTATACAAAAAGGGTCAATCAGAAAATGTTAACCTATATAAAAATGTGATCTACAAAGGGTCCATTAGCTCAGTTGAAGAATAGATTTTCTGGCACTCATGGTATCGCAGGATTACTCATTCTAGAGGTTCACAACCATTGGTAACAACCACAAAGACTTTGGTAGCTAGATATTATTGTGATGAGAGCATTAGAATAACAGAGGTAAACAATGTTGAATAAGTCTAAATTACAATGCAGGCACTATAAAAATATTTCAGACAGTGTGTTCATAGCAGGATTGGAACCTCAGTTTGGATTTATTCTGCTGGAAGTCATGCTACAATGTGGGATTTTTTTTTTTGTTTCTTTACTTAGTTCAATTTTCAGGTTTCCCTATAGGGAGCAGCTTCACTGTTGTTATAATTTGAATTGGAAATATAGGGCCATATTCATTTCCTGGGTAACTCCATTGATTTTATTGTTTAACACCAGGGATAAATTTGACACTTCATAATAACTGTATTAGCAATTCATGCTTTCTGTGAAAATTCTCAATCCTGCATATATAAGGCAGCTGATAAAGTGAGCTTCTGTAGTTACTGATTTTATTAGACAGCTCAGAAAATGCTCCACATGACAATATTAAATAACCCAGATTTTGTTTGTTTGTTGGGTGTTTTTCTACAAAATCTTAACTTGTTAATTATCTGGTATGTTCTAGAATAAAATCTGATGCTACATTTTGCTTTAACATTCTCTGTTCTGTTATTTCCCAAAACACAGGAGAATATTTTCTATCTCGAATGCCCATTTGTATGCCTAGTCTTTTTTTAAAGTGCATGTGCAATGATGTTAAATGCAGATACTTATGAACAGCTGGATGTCTTAGCTACACTGGAGCTATATAGCTGGATACACTGCTGCACACGTATTTCTGACAACAGGAGTTTGTATGTTGTGTTTTTTCTTTGGCAGTTACATTGTTGAAGGAAAAGGCCTGCAGTGTGGAATTGATGTGCGTGTTACCTCCCAAATGCAAACCAAAGATTTTCATGTAAATTTTACAACAATGCTTTTTTCTGCATATCATTTTCATGGTAGCCCAACCGCCTTACAGAGTTGCAAAATATAGCCCCCCAGTCAGTGAAGGTCATGAAGTGCCAGTTAAAGATGTTCAGTTCACGCTGCTCCCTCTGCTGCCTTTCAAATACACTTCGCACACAGCCAAAGGAAACAACTGAAGAGCCATAATGCTATGTTTGTTAGAATAACTGGAAACTAGCACAGTTTACAGAAATGTAAGCTATTGCAGGCACAGGAGCTGACTCCTGGATTTGAGGAAGGCTCTGTTTTTAGCTTCCTCTTCTCCTGCAGAACTGTTTCCCCAAGGTGCCCAGAGCAGACAGGGCCGTTACATTTCCATGGTTCTTATTTTCGTGACCTCTGTAGTGAAAATGAGAAAACGTTTCTTTGTGGTTGAGAAGGATTATGTTTTCCAGGCATTCATCTCCATTATGTTCTACAGAACCAAAGCAGTCTGGGTGACAATGTTAAAGGGAAGAATTCAGAACACTTTTCCAGGCAACTGCAGGAGCAGCAGAAGAAAAAGGAACTTATTTTTGTTACTGACCCAAACTATGCAGTAGGACTTGGGTGGAAATAGCAGCCCTAAACAGAGCATTGTACAATATTGGGGAGAAACAGCTAGAAAGGTCTCAGAACGGACACAGAAGTAGGTCACTTGGACACAATAGTAAGGGGTTCAGGAAAACCATGAGGGATTTTTTCCCCTTATTTATGAGTATAGTTATGGAGCTAAGTGCTTGAACAGTATAGGACAGTGATTCTCACACAGTGCAGGATGCTACAAGATTCTTTTAAGGGTGCTGCAGGGCGCCACACAATATGAATACTGTTATATGTGTGAACACCTACACTTGATTCACAAGATAAAACCTGAGATTTCAAATAGGAATCCATATAGCGTCAAAAGCGTTCTTTTGGCAAAAAATGTTTCTGAGTTCTTTGCAACAGAAGGACTGCTTAATTGTTTTTCTGTAGTCAAAACACAAGTGAAAACTAAGACCTTGCATTTTCTGAGGGGCGCCTTGAGTCTAAAAAAGTTCAGAACCACTGTCATAGTAGCTTTATTGGCATGCACATACAGGTTAAGTACAGACATTCAAAAAGCCCAAGGCAGAATTGATCCAATCTACACAGGTTTCTCTAAGATGCATAGATTGGATCAGGAGTGAACGGAACATTTGTTCGCCCTTCACGGGGGGGACGGGAGGCAGGCAGATGCCTGCACTGGCAGAAGCCGGAAGGCAGGGCTCCATTCCCACCACCCTCTACCCAAATGCCTGATAGCTGCAGACAGGAGCCATGGCTCAAAGCCGTATGGCTGTCTGCCATGCCAAAAACCCAGGGTGGGGACGTGGATCAGAGCCTCCGCCACATGGGCCCAGACATGAACCAGCAAACTGGGGGGACCCTGCATAGTGAGAGGGCTCCCTTCCTCTTCCTCACTCCCAGTTCCCGCCACAGTGGACAACTGTGCAGCTCTGAGCCTCAGCTCCTGCTTGTAGCTGTCAGACAGTCATGTGCAAGGGGAGGGGAGGAGCAGAGCCCCTACTGCTTGCCCACCCCAACCTGCACTTGTTGCAGGGGGCAGGATGGGGGTCTCGCTTTCCCCCCTGCTGCTGACAGCTAGTTGGGGAGCAGAGTGGAGGAGCGAAGCCACGCTGGCCAGCTTGGCCAAGCATCAGGGAAGGGGGGAAGTCCCCGTCATGTAGCACCCCCCCCATGCTGGCTGTGGGGGGCTGGGGTAGGGACCTTTGCTCCCACTCCTTGCTCTGCCCAGCTGATAGGCACAGGCAGGATTCAGGGTTTGGGAGCAGAGGCTTTTCTGCCTCAGCTCTGTGACAGCCTGGGGGTCAGGCCTGCCTGGTGCTCGGCCAAAGCAAAAGAGCACAGGCTGAGGGTAGCCAACCCGTCCCATGAAGTGGGGTTAATGGGGGATCCACAAAGGTTCTTGGGCTGTCAGGACTGTGACCTAACTTGAGTTGGGAGGGTATCTGGGACAGAAGTTTGATAAACCTGTCTAACCTAAACAGATTATATCTGATACTACATCTGTCCAGGTCTATCTTACATTGGGTTCCACCATTTTTAAACTGGTCTGTCTGCACCGAACTTCTGTAGACCAGTTTCCAACCACTTAAACTGGAAAAAGTGTAATGTCTGCACCTGTATTCAGAACTCTTCATAGAGGTGATATCTTTTATTAAACCAACTAAATAGTTGTAAAAAGTCTTTATTTGCCAGCTTTCAGGCTCACTCTCCCTTCCTCAGGCAAAGGAGAATGCACAGATTGTAACATTTCTCCCAGGTAGGAATGAAACTTCATATTGTACAGGAGAATAGAAAGATGTTATAGGTTCCCCTGGGTGGAAAAGTTACTTTTATGCAAATTAGGCTCAGATAAAAGTTGGAGCAGTCTGCTTACCTCCATGGTGTCTGATGGCAGGCTGGGTGTTGAAATTTTCTTCCTTCTTGGTAAAATGAATTTCTGTTGCACAGGAGAGAGGGTTGATAAATGTATCTCCTGGCTGAGGCAGTTCTCTTGTGTAGAGGTTGTTTTCCAGGTATGCAAATTCAGATCAAACAAAGGCTGGAGTAGGGCTGGAATTCTCCAGGTCTCTGGAAGTTGGACTTTTGCTTCTTTTTTATAGAAAGTTTTCATTTTGAAGTAGCTGAGATATCTTGCATGTTTCAGGGATACATGTCTTAACCTGGCAAAGAGGGTTCTTTGGGTAGATGTATAAATAATATTTAGTTGCTCTAATAAAAGATAATCACATCTACCCAAAGAACCTTGTCTGCCTATGTCCTTAGACCAACATGGCTACATCCAACAACCCCACCATGTCTGCACCTGGCCACACAGTCTGAGGGCATGCACAGCAATTGGACATGTAGCCTATTTACAATTTCATGTCTAATTTTCTGAAAAGCTGATCTCTAATCTACTTTTCTCTGTTTGTGCCATTCACTTTTGGTATTTTTAATCTGTTCAGGCACTAAAGAGAGATGAGTTCATTTCACTGTTGTTTATAGTCAGCCTGACGTTAAGCATCTCATCATTACCACTCCTGCAAAATTTGGGTTAGAAACACTGAAGAAGGGTGTAAGCTTATAATTTATTTTTGAAATATACTTTGCATTTTAATTTAATAGAAACATTTCTACCAGTCTTTGCAGTAAATTTAGGGAGGGGGTTTGATGCTTCATTTACAAAACCTGAAGCTTGCAGAAAGGCAATCTCAGAATGCAGCTGGCTCTGTTCTGTAGCTTCAACAATAATGTCAAGCAAGTTTCATCCAAGGGTCCAGGGGCAAGTTAAATTCCACAACTGTACTGTAGAGTAGGTCAGTATTAAAGGGCTACTTTCCATTTCTGCCATTGAAATTAAGAGAATTAAAACAGAGCTAAATTTGGTTCCTAATATTCATGTTGCCTATGAAAAAAACAAAGCTTCAAGCACCCAGGTTATCAAGACAGGCAGCAATAGAAAGGGAAACACAACCTAAAAGTAGAGGTGCACCAATATATTGGTCCATATTGTATTGGCACCGATAAAAGGAAAATTGCCATTATTGACAATTGGCTGTTTTTGGCTGATGTGGCCAATAATGTCACCGATACATGCTGGTGCATGAGTACACAAGGACAGGAATACAACCCGGTAGCTTAGAGAGCAGCCTGCTGCCAGGAAGTCTGTGGAGGGGGAAGGGTGTGTGTGGGGGGCAGATCAGGGCTCCCTTCCAGTGAGGGATGGGGTTGGGCTGGGCTGGGGCAGGGGCTGTCCAGCCAAAGCAGGGCAGGGTGCAGGATGGAGTCATGGGCAGCTCATCTCGGGGGGCAGGGAGGGGGACGGTGCGCTGCATGCACCGCTGGGGGAGGCATGGGGGGCATGTGCCCCCTGGATTAGTGCGCAGGGCAAAGGCTAGCTTACTACTGTGGGCTGGGGCCAGGGGCTGTTCCAGCCTCTTCCTAGTTGGCTCCATCCTGCAGTGGGCAGCCCACTCCATGCTCCATCCCTTGCTCTCCCCACCCCAGCTGGACAGCACCTGCCCCAGCCCCACTCCCTCCCTCAGTGTGGGGGAATCAGTCTTTCCCACCATGTCCCTTCCTCCCCCACAGACTTACCAGCTGGACACTGCTCTCCAAGCTGTCAGGCTGCATATCAGCAATCAGATTGGTATTGGCTGATATGGCTGGTTAATAATTGGCTGTCGGTATCAGCCAAAAAAATCTTTATTGGTGCACCCCTACCTAAAAGTGCTCATTCCAGGCCTGTGCTCTATCTGTACATAAACTGAAGTGTGTTTCTACAGATCTAAAGGAATGCTTTGAAAGGGTTTAATATTTTGCATGCTGGTCTAGTAAAATGCACAAGGTATTTTCAAAATACAATGTGAACTTGTAGAAATACCTTGCAGTATTATAGACCTTTTTGTAGGTCTTGACACTTTGAAGTGCAACTGCACTGCAGCTGAGTGAACAGCTTTCTCTGGAGCCCCCAGGGGGAGAAAGGATAGTTTAGGTGGCTAAAATAGTACAGTGTAATGGCATTTGATTACGCTTTTCAATAACCTGCCCCAAAAAGCAAGGACTAGAGACTGGTTTTGGGTACCTAGGAGGGAATTAATTGGGAAGCTTTCAGTGCCTGTGATGACTCAGCTGCTTCTCCTCCCACTTCCACTCTATCTGTACTATAGCAAAGATTGTCAAATCCTCTCTGCAGTATATCTCACTGACTGAGCCCCATCTAATTTAATTTGCTCTGTTATGTGGGGCAAAAAATTCAGTGCAAACCCAAATGCCCCATCAATGACACCCCCCCCAAAAAAAACAAACAAACTCCAGCAAACCAAAACCCTGTAAGTGATAACTTCAAATTTCTTCTGACCAACTACATTTAGAACAAAGTTAGAAAATAATTAATGGAACTCAAGCTTCATTTTCTCTACTTGAAAAATCCTAAGTTGAAAAAAAAGAAAGGAAGATGGGCCCTGTGTCAGGCAGATGGGCTGAAATACACAGTCCATGGGTGTGAGAAAACGAGAGCTGGAAAAACAATAAATAAAAGATCGAGGTTACCTGTGGTCTAGAGTCAAGCACTGACACAGGGAGTGCTCTAGTCAAACAGCTGTTTCTGTTTGGGCTCAAGACTTGATCCATTACAGAAGATGCAGGAGTTATGGGATTTACATCCTGCATGTTGGCAAGACTACACTTCGGGGTGAGTGTTCCTCTGAAAGCAGGATGTGGCCAGTGTAAGTTAACCACAAGGGAGGATCAGATGTCGTTTCTTGTTGGGATTGTGAAAGGCTGCATATAGGCTGTCTAAAATGAATCTGTGCTCCTGAGCAGAAATGCAGTTAAGGAGAAGTTATGAGGCAAGTGAAACCAGTCTCTTTTAAGGCAACTAGTACTTGACTGAACGCATGAGGAAGATAAAATATGCTTATCAGGGTAGACAAAAGAACAGAGTACAAAATACTTATTTAGAGAGTCTGCTTCCCATTTACATTAAGACCTCTTTGAACTGTGATACTCACTTTAAGGGGCCCCTTTAGACCCAGAACAGTATAGAAGGAGCCTAAATGTAAATGAGAATAAGGGGCAAAATGCAAAGGGTGCATAGGCATCTAACCTGTTTATCCAAAGCAGTGATGAGGAAAACATATGATGAACTCATCCCTCTCTGGAAACAAAGAGGCATACACCTGTACAAGGGGGTGGGGATATGTGGAGACCTGTCTGGACTTAATAAACCAGACCTGTCAAAGAAATGCGAGAAATGTGACAGCTGAGAGTCAGGTAGGAAGCGGGATGTATGCTGGGTCTTATGAAGAGTCCTTAGAAGAGCGTCAAGAGGAGAGGAAGAAGGTGGACCAGAGAGGGAACATTCCCTAGAAATGTAAGATATTGCACATTTTCTTCTACCACCACAAAGGAACCTATCTACCTGAGTGTTTGCAAAATACAAGACCACTTCTCCTTCTTTAACCCCGCATTCTTTTTGTAAGTATGGCATCTTGTATTGCTGCAACCCATATGGTTTTAAAACGTTGTCTGGGAGTTTCACACAAGTCACCCTGAAGAGATGAAACATCTCTACTCTGGCTTTGCCTACATTAGGCAAGGGAGCTGAGGCTAGGCTGGCTTGCTGGGTGTTAGATAACGCTGACCTAATGCTCATCTTTCTCCTACTGTGAGTGCAGTTTAACACCTTGTAACCTCACTTTAGTTTGTTGAAGTCAACTCCAGTCGGGAGCCAAGAGCCTACCCATACAGTCCTCTCCTCAGGGATCTTGTAACAGGGGGCTTAGTGCTCCTGTTACTTGAAGAGGAGAAAGGCTGCAAACAAGGCTCAAGTGGGACTCAAGGGAGGGCCTGGAAGGGGTCCCTGTATAAGCCCAGGGCCTGAGCTGGGCCAGGCAGACTGGCCTGGAGGCCATGGAAGGAAGATATGTAGAGTAGGAAGGCTGCAGAGGAGTTCTTGACGTACACCAGGATACACTGGAGTCCTGGAGTAGGGCAGGCAAGCAGAATATTCTGGACTTGCCTGAAGAACACTGCTCCAGAGAGGGGCAGAGACAGGGCTAGAGACCCCGTTGAATTAACTGGGCCTGGAAGTAGGACTGATAACACCTGCAAGGCTTGGGTGTGGCTAGAAAGAGAGATTGAGGAGGTCAGATCCCCTCTCAGCCTTCCCAGCCCTCCTCCACCTTAGCCCTTAAGGTGATGAGCAGTTAGATCGTAGCTCATGAGTGGATGAGATCTCATTCAGGGATCCCTGGGGCAGCCTCCCATTTCTAAACACGTATTTATACCAAGATGCGGCAGGCAAGGAGACAGGGAGGTAGCCTTGAGAACAGGGTGGAACAGAGGCTAAGTAGCCACCAGGGAGCATCAT